AGTAGTGGTTTTCAAGGGGGAAGGGATAGGGGGTTGGCAGAGGAGGGTGAAGAGGATAAAGGGGCACAATAATTTGCAATCACAATACAAGTTGGTCATGGGGATGGTAGTACAGCAAGGAGAACACAGTTAATGATTCTGGAACATAGATAGTGACTGTACTAGAAGGGCTGAGGATTTAATAATATGGGTAACTGTTGAACCACTGTGTTGTATAACTGAAATCAATGTAAGATTGTATATCAATGGTACTTTAAAAAAAACATAAAAACTGCATGTGGTAAACCATTCTCTTAAAATATAAATATGGTGTATTCATTATTAGCAATTTCAGCATAAAATATTCTAGAAAATAGAATCCTTTATTTCATACTTCAAGTTTTGAACCCTCTGAAAAGAAGAGAGAATTTGACTATAGTCAGAGAAAGCCTGTAATTCTGTAGTCTAGACCACAGGTTGGCAAATTACAGTCCTCAGGCAAATACAAGCCACCACCTGTTTTCGTGTGACCCATGAACAAGAATGGATTTTACAATTTTAAATGGTTGTAAATAATAATAATAATTTGTGGTATGTAAAAATCATAAAATTCAAATTTCAGTGTCCATAAATAAAGTTTTATTTGAACACATCTATGTCCATTCATTTATATATGTCTATCACTGTTTTAATGTTACAATAACAAAGCTGAGGAGCTATGGTAGAGAATGTATGGCCCATAAAATGAAAAATTATTTATTATCAGGCTCTACAGTAAAAAAGAGTTTGGTAATCTATGGTCTGGACCATAAACTAGTTTAAAGAAAGAGCTTGAGCCATTCCTTAGGCCAAATTTAAGATATTATACAAGTATCCACCTTGAGAAATACCTATGAAAACTCACATTTCATGCACATGCACAAGCACACACACGCCATATGTTTAGAGAACAAAGGAAAAAAATCACTATTGTGAAAATCTAGACATTTAGTTAAGGTGTCATCTGTGTTTTTGCCTTGAATAGCAAGAAAAAAATCTATCCATCTGGACCTACCCTATATATCTATAAGCTATTTCTCAGTCTTCTTCCTTTCTTTCTTCAGGATTTATTAATGTCCAATAGAACCTTGGTGACTGATAGAATCTTATGTCTGATGATTACCTATGAGACTTGTATTAACCATCTATTAATATAAAATAAAAGCCAACAGAGAGAGAATCCAATTGCTAATTTATGATAGCTGTAGAAAACTTAAAAACTAACAAACACATTTTTTTAAAGGAAAGAAAAATCAAAACATGAGAAAAAGAGAAACTCCATTAATGATTGAGGCTGTTCAATGTAATTAAAAAACATTGTTGAGCATGGATCCTTATTAATGCTGTAAATGCATGAATAAATTCAAAGCAAGGTTTGGTTTGGTTTGGTTTGGTTTATCCCTTAGAAAGGAAGGAATCAATCACCTTCTATTTGAGTGTCCTAAAAGATCCGTGTATTAGGGAGCCCTCTTTCTTATCACAAAGAAATATTTTGGGAAGAAAAATATAACTTAAAACTACCAAAATCAATACAAGGTTTGGATCTTGATAAAGGTGCCAATGCGGTAAATAAATGTTTGTGAGTCTCTTACAGTTCACCTTTAAAAAACAGTATCGGGGTTGGTGGGGTGGGAGGGGATGCAAAACTATGAATGAATATGTGACCCTAAGCATTAATAGCACATGCATCCTTATAGCCTGGGGTAACATTTCAAGGGATAGCATCAGACAAATTTAAAACATGGTATATTTTTAAAAACTTGGAAGCTTTTGCTCTGTAACAGTGTGTCAACAAGTGGTTCCAATAATAACAAAAACACTAAAGCCAAACATGCAAATTAAGAGCCTGATGATGAAAATGTTCTAAGACTGATTGTTGTGATGGTTGCACAACTCTGTGAATATACTAGGAGCCACTAACTTGTACACTTGAATGGGTGAATCATACAGTATGTGAATTATACTCAATAAAGCTGTTTTTTTAAAAAGTTGAGATTGAATAAAACCATTTCATAAAATTTGAAAGTGACAAAGTATTATTTCTATATTTCAAACACACATGTGAGTAATTTGAATATAAGTAGACATTTAATGCTTTCATTTGATTATTTCATTTACATACCCAAAAGTTTATAAAAGCAAATTCTGCAGATCTTTGCATGGGACAATGGAACATTCCCTTATATTCAAATTGTCTCATCTTTGGTGGGTCACACAGATACTAAATTTATTCAGTTTAAAATACAGAAAGTCAGGCAAAACATTGCAGAGTATTTTAAAAAATAGCTAAATCATAAAAGTATTGGAGCTTAAGTTTCTTTTTCTAAAAAATTCAATTACATGAAACTGCTCCACCTTAAAGCAATGCTGAAAATATGCCACTACTCTATAGCCCCAACTCTTCAGTCACGCTATTTTCTTTTCACTGTTAAAATTTTGTATTTTTTTTACTAAGTTAAAAGCATACTTATAAAATAATCAGTGACCAGCATCAAAAAGCACACAATGACTTCAATTTTCCCAGACCAAAGCAAAGATGAATAAAGGAATTAAATTCTTAATCTGTATATATCCACGGTAAAAAGATGATGCCATGACCAAGTGGGATTCATCTCAGGGATGCAAGGGTGGTACAACATTCGAAAATCCATCAACATCATCCACCACATAAACAAAAAGAAGGACAAAAATCACATGATCATCTCCATAGACTCTGAAAAAGCATTCGACAAAATTCAACACCCATTCATGATAAAAACCCTCAACAAAATGGGTATAGAGGGCAAGTACCTCAACATAGTAAAGGCCATATATGAAAAAGCCACAGCCAACATCATACTGAACAGCGAGAAGCTGAAAGCTTTTCCTCTAAGATCAGGAACAAGACAGGGATACAAAAAAAATTTTTTTTAATTAAAAATAAATTTAAAAAAAAAAGATGATGGACACAAAGATCTGAGCCCCAAAGCAGCTCTGTAACATGCTGTAAAACCTATAAAAGACAATATGTAATCCTGATTACCCCATCTATCTACCTCATACAACTACCACGAGAATCATAGAAGAGATACCAAAAGACTTTGTTAACATTAAAATGTGGTAAGTGAATGTATTTTTTTTCCATTGGGCAAAAGGAAAGTCTTTTGGACTCAGTGAAGAAAAATATAGGTCAAATGCCAACTGAGACCAGATATAATACAGACATCGCAGCATGATGTTACGGTGTCTTCCATCACTAGAGTCAGGAAGCTAAAGGTAATACAGTGGTTTCAAGTGAATTCAATTAGGCACACAGACATAATCTGTTTAGCACTCATTTAAAAACAATGTTTTAAAAATTTTGAATTAATTGCTAATTTTTAAAAAATCATAACATTTCTCATAAAAACTGAGATTCCCTTTAAAATTCTGTCTGTTTAAAAAAAACTCTTGAAAAATTGTAAGATCTAAGAATAGTGGTCCTACATGACAATTTTGCCAGAGTTATGTAGCAGGTAAGACATGAGATTTCAAATATGGAATATTTCCTACAAGCCACTTTGACTCATTTGCAGTATCTGGCACATGCAGACATTTGAGGATTTGACCACTGCAAACCAAAGATTTCATCAAAAATGGGTCTTGAGTTAGGATTTTCCTTATGATTTTCTGGAACATTGGATTTTAGAGTTGAAGCAGACAATACATTACCTATCAATACTTTAGAGAGCCTTTAATTTAGACTAGTTGAGAAGAGGGAGTCTATACAAATTACGGAGTGCCACCCTCCCTGCCCACACACATGTTCATGCCAATACACACACACAGTAACTGCTAGGCGACTCTGAGACTGTTCTCTTAAGTTCATAAAAATGAAATATTCAACAGTTTTCAGAAACTTCAGTATCATATCATTCCCATTTAAGCATTAAACTTGAAAAGCCAAGTAAGCCCCTAAATTGTGGGTCTCAAAAAACAATAATCAGGAACTCAGGAAAGGCTCATTAAGTAACTTGCCACTTAATCTAATTTCAGAAGGAATTACTACATTGTTCCCAAACTTTGCTACACATTGGAATCACCTGGGATCTTTCAAAAATACTGATACAAGGCTCACATCCCCAAGACATTCTGACTTAATTATTGTAGGATGTGATCTGCACACTGAGATTTTAAAAGCTCCCCTGGTGATTCTAATGTGCAGCAAATTTGGAAACACTGAATTACTATAAAAAGTATTCTGGTTCTGTTATGTACGGCAAAAAAGTAAATTTCTCACTTGAACAAAGTACGAAGAGTTTTCAAAGCTTACCCAGCAATGATCAAAAGATGAAACTCCGGGAAGAGGGTAAATGAGGTTTACTGTACTGGCATATAATAAAGCCAGCAATACATTTTCAATTCATTTTGTGGTTTGAATGGTTACTATGCAATAATGTGATCAAAAATTACCCTCATAGAGTAAAAAGGCTTTCAAATTTTTCACTGAATTGTTAGAATTTCAAGAAACATAGAGAATAGTATCATAATACTATAAATATTTACTTATATATTTATAATATCATGAGGTGAATGGCAGGATCAAAAAAATTCCTTTATTAAATGCAAATAAATGTCTCTGGTAATTATATATCACTCAACAAATATTTACCCAGCATCTAGGAAGTGACAGAGACTGCTTTGGGCCCTAGGAATACAGTGCTGAACAAATGAAGAAATCGAAACAAAAATCTACACCTTCACAGAAGTTATGTATATCTAGAGTGGGCAGAGAGAGAGCCAAACAAGTAAACTGAAAAGGAGAGCCAGGGAATGGGGGATATGAGGAGTCAGCTGGACTTTGCAATTTTAATAGCAAAGTCTGGAAAGAAAACATTTAGAAAAAGACTTGAAAGTGATGTTACATGATATGTGTAACTAATACATATTAAAGACAATAAATTACATTAATAAAGGTAATGATTCTAGCATAGTAAAACTGATAAATCTGAAGAGTACCATACCTCCATGTGGGATCTTAGGGTTCTCAGGGAGTCTTCCTGGATCAGTTATTGAGGCCCTTACTAAGGCAACCAGACAAAATATGGCAATGCCATAGAATACTTTGAAATAAATAAACAAATAAAATTAGTCATTTACCCTTCAAAACATTTGTTCACAGCATATTTAATGCTAACTATACATCTTAATTAATTACATCAGGATAAATAATTTTCAGAAGATGGGAAAATTAAATGTTGATTCATTTAATTCATCAAGTAATATTGCCAAGAGGACTATCAGAAAGTCCTAATTTAAATATTATTTTGCACAATAACTGATCTATTTATTATAAATCAGATTCCTTATTAACAGAGATTCCCTATAATGGTTTAAATTAATTAATTACTATATGTACTATATTTGAAAGAATCAAAGCAGCATTTTAAAACCTATCCTACAATTAAATTCTTTGATTTTGAGGCTATCCTCAAAATCACTTTGAGTTAGTGATATTCAGTTGCTCCTTTCAATAGATCTTTAGATAATTAATTTGAAAATAAAGAATCTAGAAACTTTTGACTTTTAGAATGGATAACTAGAAAAAAAGAACAGTAAGGGAAAACAGATTCACTCATTATAATTCTTTCTTTCAAATGAATAAGAGGTATTTTGTTTGTGGGAAGAAAGCACTGCATCTATAATAGGAGACTCAGTTCAAATACTAACTCCAGGACTGAACGGATGATATTAGTCAGAAAATCACTTGTATAACAGAGATTATATTTCCCACAATTCTTTTCAGGATAAAATAACATAATGCACATGAAAAATGTAAATACCATGTATATTTAAAATACATCATTTCAATCTTATTCTTTTAATCATAAACAAACCATCAGCAATGAACTATAGCAGAAAATAATTATATAGGAGTTCAAAGTGTTGTCATAATCAATAAATTTTATATCATGAAATTCTCATTTCTCAGTGACATATATATATATGTATATGTATACTACCTTCATTCTTAAAGCTCCTTTCACATTTGCAATAAGCACATTAACAAAAACATTAAAAATACACACAGAGAGACACAAATTAGCACTACTGGGCTGGGTTTTTTAAACAAAATAGTCCTATATATTTTGAACAGTTAGGTATGAAGATATCACATTTATCTAACCCTGCAAAACATATAAAGGCCATTATTTTTTAAAACCTCCATAATTTAGTAAATAACTTAATACTAAGAGTACTAATAATACTAAGCAGAAGGTGATCACAGTGGCACTAAAAATGTTCACAACAGAAAAATCTTTAATTAAAGAAATAAAGATCTGGAAACTTACTTATTATTAATATGCCTGGAATATGTCCTTCTTCATAGTGAGGAAAGAGGACAATTTTGGGAATTAAAACAATATTGTACAACCAGACAAAGACAATCAAACCCATGCAGCACCAGCCATGTGGGTCAACAACAAAGTGAACCCGGAGCCCCATTGTGCAGTCCTACAACTGCCTGCCAACCCACAAGGAAAGATGACCTAAGGAGCGAGAAATGAGAAAAAAATTACTTACAGAGAAAAAAAATCACTTGACTAAAACAACAATACATTAGTGGCAACTATAAAATGACACTGAGTTCTCTTTGCAAATTCTTGACAAAATGAAACAAAGTTTCAGGATATTCAAATTTCACCATAGCTTCAAATAATTTAACTTCAGTTTTCATTAGGAACTGCTATCATAGAGTATAAATTGGCATTATCTTCTGAAGTTAAACACAGACCTAGCATTAACCAGCAACTTCATGTGTAAATCGAAGAGAAATGAGTGCATATACCCACCAAAAGATATGTACAGCATTTTTAGTAGTTTTAACCATAAGACTAAATGATAATCACACAGATCAAAATAGTGGTCATCTTGTGGTGGGATGGGTGTTTATTAATTAGAAAGCAAAATGAGGGAAATTTTGAGCGGCTAGAAATGTTCTGTATCTTGACCTGGGTGGTGCTTTATGAATATATAAATATGCAAAAATTCAATGAGCTATATACACTTAAGATTTGTGCAATTCAGTTTGTTATTAACCTACACTAAAATGCTTAAAAATCATTTTGAAAAATTTTAATAGAAAGTGAAAATGAATTACAAATTACTAAAAATGTTTAAATCCATGGAATGAAGCCCAACTAACTGTATTACCATCAATTCAAAAATATTACTATTTAAGTGGGGTTTTTTCCAGTTGAGTGTTCACAATGCTAACAGACCTCCTAAGGAGACACTTAAAGTTGAGATACTTCTATATATATGGTACCAAAAAAAGTGACAACATATATCCATACTTCAATATATTGACTATAACTTATAAAGCTTAAACTATAAATTATGTTGTAAGGTCTAGGGGGCAACTTTTTACATAAAATATAATAGAATAATATAATAACGAACTAGGACAATGTTTCTGAAACCTATAAGCAAACCAGAATCAACTGATGACCTTTTAAAAAATACTGACTCCCAGGCCCCATTTCAGATCTACTGAATCATAATTCTTTACGGACTAAAACTCAGAAGCAATAAAATGTTTTAAAATGCTCCCCAGGTCTCTCTGATACAGCTCATTGGTATCTAGGAACCACTGATCCAGGCGCATCACTAAGAAAACTTCAGTATTATGGCAACAAGATGAACACAGTTCAACAAATATTCAGAGCCTACCTGCACTATACATCAGTCACTGGCTAGACATTGTAAATACAGTGTTGAAAAGATATGGTCTTTGCTTAAAGGAACTAACATTCTAATGGGGGAAAGAGACACATAGGTTAATATAATATGGTTAAGTTCCAGAGATGTGGACGAGATGTTACTAGAGGCACAAAACATGGGGCCTTAGTTAAATCAGGGCAAGCCTTCCTGTAGGAGGTGAAACCTGAATTCAGTCCTAAAAGATACGTGAAAGTTACCCAAGCAAACAAAAGTGACAACAGTACTGCAAACAGAATGAAGAGCAAAAGCATGCAGGAGTAAGACTTTTGGAAATATTAAATATTGCCATCAGAAGTCATAAAGCTTTCAGTGGAGAGTAACAAGGGGATCTCTCATGATGCACATAAAAGATGTCATGTTAGAAAGCTCACACTTCCTTCTTAGGCACTAGAAAGCTACTGAAGCTGGGGGTTAACAATGAGATTTATACTTTAGACAAATTTATGAAGCCTGGTGTGAAAGATAAAATTAAAAACAGAGATTAGAAAGGATAAGAGAAGACAAAAGCCAAAATTAGTTTTGGAGAAGAGATCAAGTGAAGAAATGGTTAGAATCAAACCAGTAAATTTTACTAATTGATTAGAATACAAGGCATTACAGAGGAAAGAGTCAAGGATAACTCCCAGATTTTCGGCCTATATTCCACACTATTCATTCTACGAATAATTTATCATTAGTTGAAGAGCCTCGGAGGTACAATCTCATAGAGGCCTTGCCAATGTCTTTAAAGCTATAAAGTTACCAGAACAAAGAAAAAAGATTGAGGATTAGTTAATTTTAAAGGAATAGCCCTACCTTATCATCCCTAGAACCTGCAAATCTTGGGGCACCACAAGAGAAAGCCAAGTACTGAAATGTAACACCATCCAACTGTTTAAATCAGATATGGCCTAAATTAGTATTTATGTATGAATTCTAAAACAGGAATAGTGTCCAGGCCTATAAAAAAGTAAAAGTTGAACTTCATTACCTTTTAACAAAGGTTGAACACATTAACTTTCATTAAAGGTCTTTTAATTATTAAAGTGAGGAAAGTCACAGAGGATAAAGTATGCTATTTAATTTGTATATAATCATTTTAAAAACTGAAGGAGCTCAAATACAAATGGTAAGTTATCTACATAGCTAAAAAGAGAAACATTAAAAAGAATGTTTACTTTTACAGTCTTGCCAACTATCAAGTGCTAAAAGAAATGACAGAGGGCTCTGTCTCTCAACATGTTCAATATTACTAACTTCATGGATTTTCTTTCTTTTGATGTTTCAGTTCCATTCAGGACTAAAAAACAGACTATCAACTCCAACAACTTTATAGAACACAGTAATTCCATTACTTATTTCTAAATTTACTAATATTAGAAACAGAAAAACATCCAAGCCAACAAAACAAGTAGCAAAATTATCAAATACTCATTTTTTGAACTCTACTTTTATTCTCTTCTACCTGAGAATAATACATTTTTCTTATCACTAGAAGATTCCTCACAACAAAAAACATTACATACTAAAAAGTATTGTTAAAAATGTATCTGTTTCTCCTAAAGGTAAATTACGAAGACAACAAACTCTAAAAGAACGAGCATCTGCAAGGAAAAATGAGCAAAAGAAGAGAAAAATAGAACAATGAACAATTAAGATGCTGAATATTTAAAATACCTGATGAGTGAAAATTAGTGCCACCCAATCCTTACAAGGGGATTGTAGAGAAGAAAACAGTAGTCTTCCAAGAACTCCAAATTAGATTACACCCAGAAGCAGTAACTGGTAGAGTTGCAGTGTAGGCTCACTCCAGTCAGTTAATATTGACAGGCGTGGCTTATGGCCAAACAGAAACTCTTACACATCCTGAGCAACCAGCAAACCAAAGACAGTGCTGCTCCTCTGTCTGAAGGGTGGCATTTGTAAAATACTTTCATTAGCTAGAGATTCTAACATAGTAACCTGTATATTAAATGGTGAGCTCATAACTCAAACTTTGATGTAACTGGTGAACATACTGGTACTTCAACATTTTTGTTTAATGGCTATCTGAGTGCTATACTTGAGTGCTATGACTAACTTCATTAATGATGTAAATTACTACAGCACTAACATTTTTTTAAAAAAGAAATTATAATTCAAGTCTACTAAACTAGCCCATGTAAATATTTACAACGTTCAAACTATTCCGGTAGGAAACCATCTTTCCTGTTTTGTCTTTTCAGGCTACTGAATTTCACCACACATTGTCCTCAGGAAGAATACTCAAGTCAATATGAAAAGAAAGTGACAGAAACTATTACATGACAAAAAAAACTGTAACATCGAAACAGTATGTAAATTTACCTTTAAACAAACCCTGTAAACCAGTATTGCCCTCTCGTTAATGATATGTATGCTCAAATATTGTAGAAAGGGGAGAGGATGTGTACTGATAACTGCATTGTACTTTAAAATGGATCCCAAAGTAATAAAGTGGAATGATGGATGGACAGAGAGATGGAAGAGTATGTGATGACGTTCAGTAAAATATTAGTTTTAGAATCTAGGTGATGGGTATTCCCATATTGTACTATAAAATTCTTCCAATCCTTCTGTTTAAATTTCTCATCATTAAATGTTGAAGGAGAAAGCAAGTTATAGAAAAGTTTGTATCACATGATTCTTTAATTGTTAGAAAAAAATATATATATATACATACATAAGTAATTTCTATATCTGTATAGGCAAAAAAAAAGTGTGGAAGAAAATAGATCTACCAAACTGTTAACAGTATTATTATGGGTCTGTAAAAGAAGAGAGTATTGAGAAGGAAGACTTTCACATTTTATGTTTGTATTTTTGTTTTCTTCTAGACTTATCATTAAACATATAGGCTTTGAAACTCTTTTCAACCAACCAAAAAATAAAGACAGCCTAGGGAGTCTGTAAACACTACAACCTGACCAATAAAATGTTTAAGCCTCCCTTTATCACTATATATTATCCTTGTGTTGAATGCTTTTAAAATTAATGTATTTAAAAACAGTGCAGAAACATAAGATGTAAAGCCATATTAGATTTATTATTCAGAAAGATATTTCTGAAACTCATACTACTACAGCTTACTTTTCTCTATGGAAAAAAGCCTTATTAAGAAAATGTTTAGTTAACATTTAGTATGAAAATTTTAAATAAACATGAAATAACTACAACTTTCTTTTTCAAATGCACTATTGTTAAATGCATCTAAATATAACACTGCAAGGATACTATGCAACATAATTCAGAATCATATTCCCATGTAAAATTAAATGCAGACTTACCACTTGCAAATTCACTGAGATGTGTTGTAATTTTTCTGGTACTTGCACTTAGAAGTTTTATCTTGATTCATTTTTTTTTAATAACATCCCAATGAATGGCTCTCTCCTCAATAACAGCTCTCCATGAGAATCTATTAATGATTTGATAAAAATCATCTCTCACAAAGATAAAAATTGTAAACAGATAAATATCATAATTGTGAAAATGTCAATTACAAAAGTTTTAAATTCAGAAATAAATTATTCAACTCCACCTGATTCTATGCTTTCATATCCATCCCATCCCTGCAAAATGTGCATTTGATTAGCATTATACATGAAAGTTCTCTTTTGAAACCACCCAGCTCCATCAAATCAAATTAGCATTATGTGTCCAAGCATTTGAGCTTCATCAAACTTCCTAACCACAAATCACAAAATGACAATAGATTCTGAGATCACTGAAATGACAAAATACAATATAATATCTATGAAGATGTGAAGCTAGAATTAATCTGGTCACAATGATAACTACAAAATAAAGAGTTTAGAATTGAAGCAAGTTTTAGTTTAAAATGTGTTAGGGGAAAAAAGTTATCATCTGTAATAAAATCTTTAGGGGGAATCAATGAGAAAAATTAGTTTCTACAGTTCAAGATTAAAAAATAGTACTGTAAATGGATTAAAGATGGCGGCGTGAGAGGAGAGACAGAGGCTTCCTCCTAAAACTGGATACAATTAGAAAATTTAATTGGCGCAACTAATCCTGAGAGAGCAACAGGTAAGAGGACGCATCAGACTGCACACACCTGGAGAAAAGAGCAGACCTCAGCCAACGGGGTAACCTAGCAGAGCTGTGGCTCCACAGGATCCGAGCCCCTCCCCCACCCCAGCTCACCAGCGGGAGGAAGAGAAATGGAGCAGGGAGGGAGTGGAAGGCTTGGGACTGCTGAATACCTAGCTCTGGAGATCTGCGCTGGGAGCACAAACCTACATTTCATGGTGCTTTCATGAGACTCGCATGACTACCAGGTTGGAAAGTTAATACAGGCAGAGTTTCTGGTCAGACTGGGATTCCGGCTGCTTGTGGAAAGCAGGGATCATTATCTGGC